TCAGACTTGATGCTCTGTAGGATTTCAGCTTATTCCTTTGACAGTGGTGTTCTCTTGTGGTGTCAGTTCTTCACATATGACCCTCAGTGACAACAAAACAGTAGTGGAGGGTAGGACATAGTTTGCTCACTCATCCAACAAGCCTGCTGTAAGCCAGGCATTCATCATCCTGTGCATAAGATAAACAGGGAAAAGAACATATTGGTAACCCTAATACAAACAGTATCACCTTGCCTTTCGAGGACTTTCTGTAAACGTAGAGCTAAGTGAGTCCTGTGGGCAACTTAAGGAGAAGAGGTGAAAAATCAATTTGGTTGGAAATATAGCTGAGCAGTAGACGACTCACCTAGGATGAGTGAGAGTTGGCATTCAGTCTCCAGGACTATCAGGTGTGTGTGGAGGAGGGGTGTTGTGTGACAACAGCAAAGCCTGGAATACAGTGGAACATGGAGTGAAATTATACCACAAAGAATGGACTTGGAGCGGTGACACAGCTCAAGAGTAAAGACACTGGCTGCCAAGCTTGATGACCTGAGTTCCATCCCCAGGACTCACACGGTGGAAAGAAAGAATTGGCCTGTACAAGTTGACCTCTGACTTCTATATGCCACTGTGACACACAAAACCACAGACACACCCGCAGACAGACAAACACACACACACTCACACATACAATCACTCGTTGTTGAAACTTTTATGGAAACATTTCTAAAGACTAATTTTAAATGCTTTATTTTTATGCCTTTTTAGCTTATCTATTTATTGGGGGAGGGGCAGGGTCACATGCAAGGTGCACAAGTCTAGGCCAGGGCACAGCTTGTGAGAGGCAGCCCTCTCTTTCTACTGTGTGGGCTCTGATGATCCAACTCATGTCATTGGGCTTGCCCCAGAGATATTATCCACCTAGCCACTCCCCTGGCTTTTGTTTTATTTTCATTTTAGTGTTCAGATCTACAGAAAAGTTGCGCAATTAGGAAATACAAAGTCCACTTGTATACACCTCTTACCCAGATTTCCTATTTGAAGTTTGCTATACTTGTTTTCTTTCTGTCCCCTGTTGAAATATCAATAGATCCATGTCTACACAATGTACACACATACGAGGTACATATTTTTTTAATCACGTGACAGTAAGTTATAATCATTAAGGCATGTTATCTAAAATATTTCAGCATGTATCACATAAGAAAAAGAACATTTTTGATATATCAATAACACAAGTATCACAGTCAGAAATTTTAAATTGATAAATACATTTAAAATATTGGCATATTAAAGTTTCAACAGTTTTCCCAACAATATTATTTCAAGCCTTGTTGATGCTTTCTAACATGTATTACTCACATCACTGCTGTCTGTCATATAGTTATAATATTTCTTACTCTGAAATAATAATTACAATTCTCTTTTTTCAACATAGACCTTTTAAAAACAATACTGGTCACTTCTAAATTCTGCGTCGCATAGTGGTGGTTCCTTTGCTATATTACGTTGAGTGTACTCATTTTCGTGTTTATTTCATGAGGCATGAGAGCTTACTTGGTCTTCTAAATGAGGCTCAGAATGACGCCACTACAAAGACATTCAAATATTTTAATTGGCGCTGGAAAGAGATGATTGAGAGGTTAAGAGGACTTTCTCCTCTTGCTCAGGACTGGGGCTCTGCTCCCAGCACCCACATCAGAGGCTCACAACCCCTTGTAACAGTAGTTCCAGAGGATCCAATGTCTCTGGCCTCTACAAGAGCTAGGCATACATATGGTGCATATACATACACACACATCCTCACACATATACTTTAAATGATAAATAAATCAACCTTTAAGAAAAATATTGAGAAGTAGATAGCATAATAGTATGTTTAAGGATGCCCATTCTGTGGACTGGAGAGAAGGGTCAGTGATTAACAGCACCGGCTGTTCTTCTAAAGGACCTGGGTTCAATTCCCAGTTGTACATGGCAGCTCACTGTCTGTAATTCCAGTTGCAGGGGATCTGACCCCCTCACACAGCCATGCATGCAGGCAGAATACCAAGGCACATAAAATAAAAATAAATAATAAATTATTTGAAAGAATGTCCATTCTAAACCTGCTGTGGAAAGGCGATGGAATGGGAGTGTACAGACAACTGAGCATTCCAGGGGCGAGAAGGAAAAAACTGCCTGACAGATGTCAGAGGCAGAAATGGGAGGAATAGTTTTGTGGCTTGCACAGCTGTGTAGATGGCTGATTTAGAGATAAAGGATGGGGAACAGTTTGAAAAGGAGACTGAGAAAAATGATGTTGTAATGTAGAAAAGAGTCTCCATAAAGGATAGAACCTGCAGATCACCTGTAAATAAGCGGGTTAAAAGACTCAAGAAGAGGCTAGAGAGATGGTCCAGCGGTTAAGAGCCCTGACTGTTCTTCCGGAGGTCCTGAGTTCAATTCCCAGCAACCACATGGTGGCTCACAACCATCTGTAATGGGATCTGATGCCCTCTTCTTGTTTGTCTTAAGAAAGCAACAGCATACTCATGTACAAAAAAATAAATAATCTAAAAGAGAGAGAGGAAGAGAGCCAGAGAGAGAGACAGAGAGACAGAGAGTGTGAGAGAGAAACAGAGAGAGAGAGAGAGACAGAGAGACAGAGATAGACAGAGAAGACTCAAAAAGCTGGAAGCAGACACCTGGCACCTTACTCCCTGATAGCCTCAGACAACACTCCTAGCCCATCACAAGTATTCAAAGCTATTTTGACAGACATTCTAAGAGCTTAAGCTGTGTCACACTGGGAAGTCACTCAACTTCTCCAGACCTGTTTCTCCATCTACAAGCCATGGATAATGACACGTGCCCAACTTATGTCATGAAGACTGAGAGTCAAGTAATTTAATGCACAGAAAAGCTACCTACATATAGACTATAGATTCCTATGTATACATGATTTGTTTGTGATTTGGAAAATGGTGATTTAAGTCTATCTCTTGGCCTTTGGAACTGGAAATTGGTCTGAACATAATGTTCATGGTCTAGTGCTGCCGTTTCTTGAGAGTTGTCTGGAAACTGTTGGTCAGTATCCTGACCATGCCTCAGAACATGGCTGTTACCTGAGAAACCACATATTACACTCCTCAGATAAATTTCTTTGCCTTTCATTCCTTCACTACCCTCCCTTTCCCAGCTATCCAGCACTAATGTCCTGATCTCTGCCAAGCTAGTGTAAGGTAGCCCTTCTGCAGCTCCCTTGGCCAGACAGAAGGATGAGCAGGTGTGCCTTTGACCACCAGAGCAGAAGATGACATGTGATTCCTTGCTTCCCTCCTCCTTGCTCACCTCACCTCTTGGCTTGCCTGACCCATTTCCAGGGCTCTGAGTCAGCATCCAACGGTAAACGATGAGCTGCCCAATCGTATCATTTCTGGCTTGGTGAAGGTGAAAGGGAATGTGAAGCAGTTCACAGAGACAGCCGCCATATTTGAGGATGGCTCCAGGGAAGATGACATTGATGTGGTCATCTTTGCCACAGGCTACAGCTTTGCCTTTCCTTTCCTTGAGGACTCTGTCAAAGTCGTCAAAAACAAGGTGTCCTTGTACAAAAAGGTCTTTCCACCTAATCTGGAAAAACCAACTCTTGCGATTATTGGTTTAATTCAGCCTTTGGGAGCCATTATGCCTATTTCAGAGCTCCAAGGCCGCTGGGCCACTCAAGTGTTCAAAGGTAAGTGATGATACCCATGGACAGCTTGGTGAAATGCATTAGCTATTACTATAGAATTGCTTTTAAATACCTACAGGGCAGGTATGATTTTTAACAGTGCCAGGCACAAAGCTAGTGCCAGAAAACTTGTTTTCAATGAATCCAAAGTAGTAATGTATCTGGAGATACACATCAGAAATTTTTGTTCATTAGGCATGCTTTAATCCTATTCCTTAAGATGCTCAGTTCAGAGGTGGGGTTGGCTTAAGATCATTGAGAAAAATGTTCTCCAGGTGACTCCAATGTGCACTGAAGGCTGGAATCTACTCATCTAGCCTGTAATCAGCTGGTGTATATGTGCAACACTGAGTGATTCTTTCATTACAGGTAAAGTCAAATATAGACTAGGATGACTTAATTTCAGCCATGGACAGCAGTTCTTAGCTTGTGGGTCAACCCCTTTGGGGGTCACATGACTCTTCCATAATAGTCCCAAATCAGATATTTACATTATGATTTATTATAGTAGTAAAATTACAGTTATAAAGTATCAACAAAAATAACTTTATAGTTGTGGGTCAGCACAACATGAGGAACTGTATCAAAGGGTCACAGCATTAGAAAGGCTGAGAACCTCTGAACTAAGAGATGCTTAGAGAACCCTCCAGAATGTGGAGTATTTGATTTCTCAAATCCTCACTCCCCACCCCCTTAAGCTCCTCTTCCAGCTTGAGCTCTGTGTCAAGAGGCTTCAGAGTTTAGGAGAATAGATTTGGTGTGAGTCAGCAGGGTGCTAAGCCTTTCTGAAGACCTCCTGAAACTCAGCATCATTATGGAATCCTAATGCCTGAAGATAATATAATTGTTCTTTTCTATTCCAATTAAAACCCATACCTGAAGATAAATTCTGAGAGGAAAAAAAAAGCAAGAACATAATTAACAGGGGAAGAGATACAATTGCCTGAGCAGGACTGGAGAGATGGTCCAAAAGTTAAGAGCATTTGTTGCTCTTGCAGATAACTCCAGTTCATTTTCCAGCACCCACATGGTGGCTCACAAACATCTATAACTCTAGTTTCAGGAGATCTGATGCCCAACCTGCAGGGACACCAGGCACACACATGATGGATGCACAGACAGACAGACAGACAGAGAACAATCAGACACATAAAATAATAGGACATAAAGGATTTGAAAGCACACCATCTGAATGCATGTGAAGTAGCTAGAGACATTTATGCTACAGAAGTTAAAACCTGAGGAAGGGTGAAACTTTCGCTTTTAAATATTCAAATGGATGGCACATAGAAGTAGGTTTACTCAGTATTGTTTTGAAGGGTCAAACCAGAACTATGGGGTGAAATTCTGATGGATGCATACTATCAGTTTGAGAAGAAGAACCTGTCAGCCAGTACCATTTCAGGATAAACAGATGGCTTCTGAAATTGTGAGGAGTGCAAGGAAACCAGAAAGGAGCCTCTGGCTGGCTGGCTTAATTGGCTGGGAGGATGATGTAATGCAGTACAGAAGACAGAGAAAACACTGAGGTTCTTTCTATGGTTACAATATTAGAACTTGTTGCTATTGCTGTTTAATTTAAAATTAGTCAAGAGTTTTTGTTGGAATTACAGCTTTCTCTCCCTACTGAAAACTTCTCATGGCCAATGGTTGATTAGATTTTCCAACTTCTATCATTCTCAATTTCTCCCAGTTCTATCCAGTGGGGCCTATGCTATTTGAGAACACTGGACAAGCAAAATTTAAATATGATTTTTTAAATTATGTTTAAACATGGGAATGCTTAGATAAAAATAGAGGTAATGAATCAAGAAAGAACTACATCAGGTAATTCTACACATCTTTGTCTGTCTCAGCTATAGAATTTTAAAAAATGAGCTGGCTGTCTCTCAGCCAAGAAATAGGCCTCTGCTTTTGTAATGTGTGCCATTATTATTAAACATAAAGCATTTGGTTAAATCAGGAGAAGTGACTCAGAAGTCAACTCTTCACATGAGTTTCTTGAACACTCTAGAACCTGTGGTTGAAGCAGGAAGCATTACAGTGTCTCTTCAATATCTGAACTGTGAGGGACAATTCCCATGGACCAAATGAGAGGACACATGGGAAACACAGAAGGGTCTTCCTGGATACTGAGTTTCTGGATCACATCTTTAGGGAGACTATCAAGAGAGCGTTGGTTGTGCTCAGAAAAGGGAAACCCCCCCAGATGGCAGATGTTGTGAAGCCTGGTATACAGGGATTTAAGATTGACCTAATCATGACATGACATAAAAGGGTTGTTTCTTGCTTTAAGGCCTGCCAAGTGTTGAATCTCAACCCTTACCTCAGAAGCAGAGTTAGGCCCAGTATTTGAAGTTGCACAGAAGTAGGTTTGAGGGCTACCACAAAGAATATTCCAGCAAAAATAAAGCAGACAAACAATTGTGCCATGTTTTGGGAATAGATAAGGTCTCCATGACCACACATGTCTATGGAGAAGTGAGATAACTGCTTGCACCAGTCTTACAGAGGAGAATATTGCATTAGGGAAGCTCTATTTCAATCTCCAATGAAATGTTTCAGAGTTTTATGGAGTGTGCCTAGTGCCTACTTTTCTGTGAAGAAGACTGGTTGGTCAGGAGTTACTTTTAGTTTAAATACTATTTTGACTTTATCTAACTGGTACCATATATAAAATGTATACAGCATTCTGCCTGCAGGCCAGAAGAGGACATAGGATCCCATCACAGATGGGTTTGACCCACCATGTGGATGCTGGGAATAGAACTCAGGACCTCAGGAAGAACAGTCAGTGCTCTTAACCTCTGAGCCATCTCTCCGGCCCCTTAAGGCATCTTCTTAGTGCTCAAAAGAAATTTGGATTTGGGAGCATTTCCAGTTTCTCCTTTCCAGACTTAGGGTTCTCAACATTTACCATCACATTTTGACAGTGACAGTCCCAAATGCATTTTATAATCTCTCCAGAGGCCCTGTAGCTCTTTGAATTCTCCACAGTGTGGTGACTGCCTTTTGAATTGCTGCACATTCTGAAGTAATTAAAGCTTCTATTGTAATCTTTTTCTCTTTAGGGCTTAAGAAATTGCCCTCACAAAGTGAAATGATGGCAGATATAAATAAGGCTCAAGAGAAAATGGCAAAAAGGTAAGAACCGCTCCCAGGAAGACTTGTGGACAATTTATGTGTTTCTCAGTAAGGAGCATATTGTGCTATACTTACTTTCCGTGTGGGGGCTTAAGGATTTCTATTACACAGTGAAGCAGAGGGAATGGTGGCGCCTGTGGTTTGTATGTGCACGGAGAAGGAGAGAGACTCTAATGGCGCATGTTTAAAGACTGTGTTTAGGACCCAAAAGAAGTTGGGGAGGAATAAACTATACCTGGAACATTGGGTGTATTGTTTGGTGAGGATCACTTAATGCTTGCTGTACTGTCAGCTCAAAGAGGAGATTACAGTAGAAAAACCCTTCCCTGTCTTGAGGGACAAACAGTAAGACTTTCTGTGACAGCTCTCTTCTCAGGGGCTCTATTTCCCACCTGTAGGCACTACCTAGATTTGCCATGCCTGTACTCTGTGTCCATCCCTTCCTTACTCCATCACTGAGCTGGTGCCTCACTCACAATACTTACTTTGTTCTCCCATTTCCTTATCCTCCAGCCAGAGCACTCTCATCTACCTTCTCTCTACATTTCCATTTTCCCTCCAACCCAGAACATTCACCTGAAGGCTTATCCATGTCTGACCTCTTGGGCCGAGCGTTTATGCATTAGAGTCTAGTGCATCTTAAGGTCCTTAAGGAAGGTAACACACGTCCTGCCTCTTTCACAGTTGTCAGCATGATATCGAACCCTCAAATACCAACTCACAAAGCACCGATTGACTGATTAGTTGCCATGGCTTTTGCATGAATTTCTGACAGCCTGGGACTTCTGTCTTCTTTGCTTTAGGTATGTGGACAGCCAGCGTCATACCATCCAGGGAGACTATATAGACACCATGGAAGAACTTGCAAATTTGGTGGGTGTCAGGCCTAATCTCCTGCTTCTGGCCTTCACTGACCCCAAGCTGGCATTACAGTTACTTCTGGGACCCTGTACTCCAGTCCATTATCGCCTGCAGGGCCCTGGAAAGTGGGCTGGAGCCCGAAAAACTATTCTCACCACAGAAGATCGTATACGAAAGCCTCTGATGACAAGTGTGGTGAAAAGGAACAGTTCTGGGCCATCGCTGGTGATAGTGCGTGTCCTCATGCTAGCTGTCACTTTATTTGCTGTCATCCTGGCTTATTTTTAGATGTGGCATTGCAATGCTCCAGGTTCCACTGGAAAGCCCCACCTAGTGCCACCTTCAGAACCTCACAAGACTGAATACTCAGCTTTAGACTGCACGGGAATCAATCACAATCTATGTCTCCTCCCACCCCCTTTCTCCCTCCCTCAATCACTAATCTTTCTTGTTTTTCCTTCTGTGATATCAGGTTTTCATTAATCAATTTATCTCCTTCTTGATAATTTATTTCCGTCTTGAGCCTGTCATCTCTCCTTCTGTTAATTCCCAGACCGTGAGCTCAGATCCCCTTGGTCATCTTTGTAGGTCATGAGCAGAGTTCTCTTAATGCTTGACTGTGTTGTGTTTCTAGTATTGCACAGCTAGACCTCATTGGATGGTAATCCATCTTGAGTATTATCAAGTGCATACTGGCTAGGACTTGACCTTGTAAGCAGAGCCCACATGTCTATTTCAGGAATTCCCACAGAGGGCAATCCAGAAAGAACCATTTAGTGCTGAGGGCTGGAAGTCCAAGATCAAGGGTGCAGACGATGAGGAACTCCTGGCTTCAAGATTAATACAGTGAGGGTATGACATTGGAAAAACAGAAAATACATTGTTAGCTAAGTTCCGACATGGGGTTCATGCTGAATAAGTGCTCGTTGATGTTTATGAAATAAGGTGGCATCTCTAAGTCAATCTAATAAATGGCTGACTCCACAGAACTCCTAATGTGACCCATTATCAATTTTAATAACATTAATTGTATAAATTAACTATTAAGTTTAGTAACTGAATCCACCCATCTTCAGGTGGTTGCTGAGGATTTGATCTCAGGACCACTTGCCTTCACACCAAGTGCTCTCACTGACCAAGCCATCTCCCTACCTCTTGCTTCTATTTTCTTAAAAAAGAAACTACCAGACTGAACATAGTGGCACATGCCTGTCATTCCAGACCTGGCAAGGGGTCACCACAAGTTCAAGACCAGCTTAGTCTATATAGTGAGTTCCAGGCCAACCAGGTTTGCATATAGCAAGAACTTGGCTCAAGCCACAACAAAAACTACAAAATGAGAAAAGAAATTGCTCTTCTAAGTTAAAAGTCTTTTAAATGATTTGCCATCTTCCAATAGGTTGGTTAAAGAATTTGAGGCTTTTAGTTAGTTGTCCCAGCCAGATCTTGCAGGGCTAGTATTAGGATCCAGCTGTGGAAGTAAGTGCCAGCGGTTGAGCTGGGTTCAGCAAATGTGATTATCCCTGCCCAGCTCCTTCCTTCCTTCAGAGTCTACATGATAAGAATCAACGAGCTCTTCCACGTCTTAAGTTAGAACTAATATTAACTAATAGTAATATTAACTACAAGCATTCTGCCTAGACCTGTGTGCTACAGTATAGTTCAGAAAGGCAGAGCGGATCTGAACTGCAGGATTTAAGAAGCATTAGCTGTCAGAAGTGCTTGAGCTCCCTGAGGATAGGTACTGGATGTGCCAGGCAGTGTATCTTCAGAAAAACACTGCTGTGTAGTGTGTCTGTAAATGGACTGCTGCCAGTCATTAAAGTGGGGGATAGTTTGACCCACTGCAGGAATAGCATTGGAATATCACAAACGCTTGCGAGCAGATATGTGAGACTTCAAACTCGTCCCTAATTACATACGGATTTGGACAGCTGCCTAATATTTCACCCAGCATACTCTCTGAAAACTTGAGCACTGAGCCCTGGTCTGGTTTCTGGAACCCTTTTCCTTCCCCTAATCCTTTAGAAACTGAATGTTAGTCATTATTAAAAATGGGTCTGGGATTTTTCTTTTTAATCTGAAGATTGCTTTTGTTCAAAAATAAACTGAAGCCCTGAATCTTAACTTTTCTTCTTTTACAATGTCAAGTTGCTCTTATTTAGCTTGTAGAGATTCTGAAGCACTGCACCACCAGGAACGTAGTCTCTACTTATGGACACTAATACCAGAGGCTTCTTTCTAAGCCTGTACTTTTAAATCGATTCTACTTTCTGGTTCCACTTAGAATATGTAAAACTACAAAAATGTCATTGATTTCTAAACCAAGCTGAAGGTAAGACTAGAATAGGACCTTGAACTTAAAACAACTGAAGATACAAAGCGTAGTTACTGATGAGCATGTACTGGTTCATCAATTTACACATTTTGCTCTTCTGGCCATATTAAATGATTATATCACTTACCCAACTATGATAAATCTGATGAACCAAAAGATGTATTCTTCCAACACCACAGAATAAAGAAATGAACCAAACAGACTGAATAGCCCATGTCAAAGGGGTATAGAAATCAACTTCAAAGTGGTCCCAGCGGCCAAATTGGGAAAAAAAGATTGAGCAATAAATAACCTTCTATTGGATTATAACCTGAAACACAAAGCTACCTGAGTCTATGCTGTTATAAATGATTGGAACCATTACTGGAACGGGATAAGTAAAACTCCCACACAGAATTCCAAATAATTTATGTTCTTGCCCCTCAAGGAAATGACGCACAACCTCTTAGATGTACCACATAGATTAACTCCCTTCTAGTGTGGGAGGGGGTGAGGGATAACTGCAGAGGAGAAATCAGACAGATAGGTTACCTCAGTCAGGTGTCCACGTCAATACAAGCATTAGCAGTCACTGGCAGCTGTATGCATGAGGTGACCTCTGTGGTGTTTCTCCTTCAGATGATAGCCCAGGCTAGACATGAGAAAAGTACCAGGCAACCTTAGGATGATCTACAAATACCTTACTACCTTCTAACTATTGAAGTCATCAGAAGCCAGTCTGAGAAGGCTTCCTAGTATACCAGTCGGACCCTTGAGGAAGAAGGTATCCATGGTAAGAATCCAAGAAGAGAAAAAGAGATACAAAGTAAAAACTGGAGGACTAGTAATAATTGTGTAGTCTGGCTAAAATACGATGTATCAATATTAGTGTTAGATTGATACATGCACCACCATGACATGTTTCCATGAGGAAACTGGGTGTAGAGCTTGCAGAACCTCTGTTGTCTTTACAACTTAAATCTAAAACTGTTGTACAACAATTTTGTTTTGAGTTGTTTTGTTTTTAAGTTCAGAGTTTGACCTGAACTACATGTGAGTACTAAAAATTTCTCAGATGAATGTTGGATAGCCAGAGATGGCTCAGTGGTTAAGCGTAGTACTTTCTGCTCTTGTAGAGAACCAGGGTTTGGTTCCCAGAATCCACGGGGTGCTTCCTGTCTGTAACTCCAGCTCTAGGGTTTCTGACTCCCTCTTCTGGCCGCCATGGGCACTACATGTGTGTGGTGCGCATGCCTGTATGCATGCAACAATACTCTTAACAAATAAAATAAAAAATAATAAACTTTTTTTTAAAAAAAGAATATAGGTTGGGACCATTTGTTTAAATGATTGTTTCTTCAATTGTGCTCAGATTAAGTTGCTCTAATAAACCATAATATAACTTACTACAACAATTTTGTTTCCTGTGATAGATAAGTATAAATTACAATTGGGGGCTTTGGTGGTATAAGGTTAAGACTTCTTAAAATCAGTTAGATAAGTTGCTCTTGGAGGCTGAGCACACAAAACAAAAACAAACAGACAGACAAACAAAACAAAAAACAGACGGCCATGAAGGACAGGTTATACATAAACAAAGTATTTACTATTAGTTTGTCTTGCCTAACAGCAGGATGGACATAAATCCACTCCAGACTTTCATCCTGGAACTCCCCAAGGCACCATGTACTCATTCTCTGCTGTGCTGTTTTTAATAAACTCCCACTTTTCAGCTGAATAATGCTCAAACGTCTCCAGGATTCAGTTCCTCTGTTATCCCTCCAGGAACAGCTTCCTGACCCCGGATGTGACCTCTGTGCTCTCACCTCATATTCAATTCCTCAGTCACCTTTTTTTCCAAGCTTTTTCTTTTGGTTTGGTTTGGGGTTTTTCCAGACGGGTTTTTTTCTGTGTAGCCCTGGCTATCCCAGAACTCACTCTGAAGACCAGGCTGGTCTCAAACTCAGAGATCTGCTTGCCTCTGCCTCTTGGAGTGCTGGTATTAAAGACAGGCACCAACCACCACTCAGCCCTCAATCACATTTGATGGATGTCCATATCACATGACACAAAGACAGATTCCTTTACGTCATCCCTCTCTGAATTAGAAATTAAGACGGATGCCTTGTCATTAATCTTATTCCCAGTGCCCAGTATAGTGCGTGGAGCATAGTGGGGGCCTCAGTAAACTAATGATAATTGAATGAACATACTTGACAAGAGAGATAAAAAAATGAATGAGGTTGCTTAGTAGAGGTGTACGTGGAGTATGAAAACCATTCGAATGTGGATGCGCTATGCACCGCTGTCAAGCCGTTTGAGGTATCATGTTAAAGTGCGGTTCTAATTCTGAACCTAGGGCACGAGGAGGCCTCTGATTCGGCTTTTCTAATAAGCGCGTGTCCCATGGATAGACAAACGGCTTAGGAAGACAAAACGCCCCACTATCAACCCCCACGCGGGCGGTTCCCAGCCCTAATCCCAACCCCGACCTCGACCTCACCCTCGGCCCCGCCCCCAAGCCGGAGCTGCGCATGCACCCACCACAGAGTTGGCAGTGGTGCTGGTGCCTAGAGAGGCAGGCGACCCAGGCTGGTGAGAGGGCGGGGCTGGAGCTGGAGCGAAGGGGCGGAACAAGAGATTCGGTGGGCGGGGCCAGAGGCAGAGGCGGTACTGCGTCGCGGGCCTTGTAGCCATTTTAGGAGGAAACCCAGTTCGCTGGCTTGGGGCGCGGTTTCAATTTCAATAACTTTATTGGTCTCCTTGAACGCCGAACAGCCGGCGTGCGTGTAGCCACGCGAGCACGGAGCTTATCTCCAGAGGTGAGCAGCGTGGGGGTTTGCGGGACCTGGGCTGTGGGGCAGCGAGGGCTCCCGGAGCGGGTTCTCCGAGTTGAGGCATCGGCGAAGCCGGTAAGGGAGGGGACCCCGGGCGCGGTCTCCTGCGGCGGGGATTCCCTTCCCGGGCGCAGGGGCGGGGCCGGGGCGCCCCTGACGCGGCCGCGGGGGTGTTCCCCGCCTGGTGTCTTTCCCCGCGGCAGGTTGCCCCCGACTGGAGCTGCAGCCATGGGAAACACCACCAGCGAGCGGGTGTCTGGGGAGCGCCACGGTGCCAAGGCTGCTCGAGCTGAGGGCGGCGGCCATGGCCCGGGAAAGGAGCACAAGATCATGGTGGGGAGCACCGACGACCCCAGCGTCTTCAGCCTGCCCGACTCCAAGGTGAGGTAGCGGGGCTGCCGGCTGCTCCGCCCTTCTTGATTCTTCCTCCTCATTCTCAAGGGTTATGGACTTTTTAATTAGAAGGCTATTCCGCGGACAGAGATGTTGGGTGCTAATTCCTCCTAGATACTACCTCAAATTAGGATAGAGGCGCGGAGTTGTTTTCCTGCTGCTCTGAGTAATCTGTGGGCCAACCTTTTAGGACGAGTACTAAAGACCCATCCCCTGGCCGCCCCATCCTTGGTTCTACGTGCAGGTTGCCCTCTTGTAGAGCTTGCAGGATGTATAGTTTGTGAGCGCGGGTGGAAACTTCGGAGGGTGCGTTGTCTGAGCTATTGATTCGGGCTCAGTTTCTCACATTGGCCTCAAGATAGCTAGATGATTTCTTCTTCCTGAAAATGTCTCTGGGTAGATCTCGGTCTGGCTCTCAAGTGCTCTGCACCTCCTCTTCGATCCTCGTCCACTTTTGTGTGGCCCTGAGAGCAGCCATCACTTGATTACTTGAATACTTTCCCCTAGTCTTGGGGATCACTACAGGGCCATCATTTGGTTAATGGCTCAGATTTTTTTTTTTTTTTAAACGTAGCGTTTTAAAACGTAGCTGTGCGTTTTGCACACCTGGCTTCGCTTCATAGGAGAGCAAGTATTTCCCTTCACTCCTCAGAAGTACTTCAAAATGTTGCTCGAGGCACAAAACTACACTCTACTGCCCTGAAGACTTTGCTTTCAATTCCATAGACTTTGAGCCAGAGGCCACTTTTAGTCACTCAAAAGAAGAGCCAGATGGAGCTGACAGCAGTGTGATTGCTACCCTAATGTTCCTAATCACTTTTAGAAATGTCAGCATTAAATACATTTAATTTCTCCTGGTAGGCGTTCTTGAGTGAAAAAAAAAAAAAACCCTGCACTTGGAGGTGGAGTAGTGGAATGTGTCTGACATTTATCACTTCCCAGTAAACTGAGGCTTAGGATAGTAAATAGTTTTATTTACCACTTTGACAGCACATGAAATTTGGATTATACACCCTATTTTCTTGGATCCTGATTGAGCACACCGTTAGAAAAGTGAGAGTCATTGAACTGGCCATTTCTTGGGGTTCTCTTTTCCTGTTTCCTCTCCTCTAGGATTCTTCATCATTTGGGCCCTGTACTTAGCCTAGATTTTCTTCTCCAAAGCTTATCCAGGGTGGCAGACAGGCCTTGTATTTTTGCTCAGTCCTACATTGATGACTCAGGATTTGGGTACAGTCAAACTGTGACTGCAGTAATTGGTGTCCTGAATAAGAGCCAGGCTGCTCTGTGTGAATCTAGGCCTGTTCTGGATCATTCTTTCCCTCACATCTTGCCGTTTGTGAAATGAAAAAAGTAGTTCAAACTATTACCCATGTCTTATCCAGATTGAAAACTTTATAGCACATGTATCCCCACCCCCCATGAATTTCCTTAAACATTTGCAGGCTGTAATTTAAATTGCTGGTTTGCTGCTGTTCCTGATGGTTTCACTGATGGTTTAACTTGTAAACATTTTTTCTGCTAGTCAGCTGCAGTCGCTCCTTACCACAGAAATGTCATGTCATAAGTGGAAGGGCTTTGCTCCAAAGCCAGGCATATTAATAGTTTGGAGCTTTCAAATCGTAAACTGAAAATCCTGAAGTCATAAAAGTAATTGATAGGAACAGTGGGGTTGGGGGCATCTTTGCTTCAGAGGTCAGGCTTATTAAAGTGGTTTTCAGTCCTATTTGTACGACAGGATCCCCCAAGAATGCTTTAAAAACCTTACAGGAAATCTGACACACTTATAAAATGAACAGTGTGATGAGCTGTGTATATGTCACCCGGTTTAAACGGCACTGAAAGGTCATGAAAGACTGTTCCTCTGTGATCCAAGCCACTCCCCTACCAACCACTCTGAAACAGACTTCCAAAAGGTCAACAAATGGTGCTTCTAACATTTAGTTCGTACCTCAAAAGGTGACTGCTTAAAGTTGACACAATAGTGGCTCGTACCTGTGATTTCAGCTGCTTCAGGGGCAGAAGCAGGAGGATCCCTGCCAGCCTGGACTAGAGTGAGAATTTGACCCCCAGAGAAAAATACGAGATACTTTTCCTTGTTTATTGTAATGTGATAAGAATGTTGTTACCTGAAGGCTTTTAAAAAATATATTCCCAAAGTCCTTTGGGGGAATTGGACTCTGAGGGTTGTTTTTAGGCATATGTAAACATTGCCAATGCAACTGTCAGCCAGCTTTGATCTTATGGAGGCCACAGTTTTGTCTAATCCAGTCCCCTGAGTAATGTAAAAGTCCTTCCTTTTCCTTGTCCATTTGCTTTGGATGTATGTGTACTGTAGTCTTAAGGATTATTGAGACACAGACTGGAAGGTAATTTTTTTTTTCATTTTGGAAAAAGCAGGGGAAAGCCCAGGAGAATAAGCTAGACTTTAGTTACTCATTGTTTCATTTGTAAGGTCTGACTTGGTACCGTGCAGTCTTACTTACCAGTCACTGCAGCCATCCCAAAGGAGGGATTAGCAAACTTTTTCTGTAAAAGGCCAAATAATACCAAGTTTAGAGTCTGTGGGTCATGCAGTCTGTCATCATTTCCCAAGTCTACACGGTAGCAGTGAGCTGTAGATGACAGGTAAACATGTGGGTGGCTGTTTCTAAACAAAAGCTTTGTAAAAGCAGTCTGGCTCATGGCTACAGTTGGCCCACACCTGACCTGAAGGATAGCCTTGGAAAAAAACTAAGGGATTTGTTTTTCTCAGAATCCTATAAACCCCATTTAGTAATGGATCTGCTTTTGCTCAAGGAAGCTGCTTTTGATGCTGTGCTCCTAGAGCTCCTGAATATCATGTATCCTCCTGAGGTGATTTCATGACCTGGCCTGGGTAAGCCAGTCAGGTTTCATAACCATTTCAGCTGTACTGGGTCAGGGATGCGGTTTCCCAATGTGTGTCGACTGAGGGAACGATGGTGCTGGAGATGAAACTCAGGGCCTTGTGCCTGGTAGGAAAGCGCTCTGCACTGAACTGCGTCTCCAGCCCTTAAAATTTTAATGCCCTGTTTAATAACCAAGTAGCTAAAACAGTGTTGTTAATTACTAAAGAATTTTGATATCTTTAACTTTAATTGTAATTGCCAGAGACAGTTTGCCTCTGAAAAACATATAGCTGGCTTAATTTTCTTTTAGAGAACCATACTTGGTTTTCTACAGTTTCCTATGAGGTGTTCAGAAGCATATCCTAATTGCTGCATACAAGCTAAACTGGTACTATGGAAGGAAAGGTTTGGAGGTGCTTGTTTGTTTGAAAGGTGATCCAAAGGTTCTCCAGGGAGAATGCTGTGTGCCACAGTTCTTTTCTATAGTTTGTTCATACCCTGATTCAGTTGTTGAATTTGGGGTGTCTGACTTTAGTTGAAGCCTAATATAATGCCCCTTAAAAATCTTTGGGACCGCTTAAAAACCCTTGGGTCATAATTTATTCTAGGGATGACCTACTCCTTCTTACAGCTCCCCGGGGACAAAGAGTTTGTACCCTGGCAGCAGGATTTGGATGATTCTGTGAAGCCCACCCAGCAGGCCCGGCCCACGGTTATCCGCTGGTCTGAAGGAGGCAAGGAGGTCTTCATCTCTGGGTCCTTCAATAATTGGAGCACCAAGATCCCTCTGATTAAGAGGTGAGGACAGACATCTCTGTGGAGTCTGCAGCATGCAGGACTAGACACCTGCTTGCCTTTCTTAGGGAAGAGAGTGGGCCTCAGGGAAGTTTCTGACAACATGGTGTGTGCACGCTTCAGGACTGTGCTTCTCAAGCCATTTCTTGTCTTCAAGAAATCTAGAAATAACTAATCCTGTATTAAAGCAAAATACATTGTGACATTGTAGGTATAAGGCCAGTTTATTGCTGGCAAAGCAGTAGGAAATGATTTAAGTGATTGTCAGAGTGTAATAGGTCATTTTCCAGAAAAGGCTCACCAAACTATGGGAAGAGTACCCTGAAATATTTCCCAACCCAAATCTATCTTTTATGTTATGCATACTTGTAAAAACTCTGCTTTGTATGTAACGTGTGTTTGTATGTACATGTACACCCGTATGTGTGTGTGAAGGCCACAACAAGACCCAAGTATCTTTCTCCATGGCCTTCAGCCTGTTGCCTTGAGACAATCTCACTGAACCACAGTTTCTCCATTTCAGCTAGCTTTACTGGTCAAAAGTCTCTTGGGGTCTGCTTGTCTCTCTCCTCCCCAGTGCTGGAGTTACACGCGTGTGGAGCCATGCCCAGCTTTTTCCATGGGTTCTGGGGATTCACACTCAGGTCCTGAAGCTCACAACAAGCACTCTTACTGGCTGAGCCCATCTCCCTAGCTCTAAGAAATCTAAACATTTTGTCAATCACCCCCCTAACACACACACACACACACACACACACAAGTGATCAAAAACAACGTTAGTGGGAGAGGTTGCCAAGCACCTGTGTTGACTGATACAGAAGAGAATGGATTTGTACTGAGCGGGGTGAGGTGAGCACAAGAGCTGTCGCTTAGGAATGTACGAGGTCATCGCGGTGGCCCCATCATCTCCTCTTACTTTTTTACACTCTGTCTTCTTGAAGGAACTTGACTGGGCTTCTGTTTTCTTCTCTAGTCATAATGACTTTGTGGCCATCCTGGATCTTCCGGAGGGAGAGCACCAGTACAAGTTCTTTGTGGATGGACAGTGGGTTCATGATCCATCAGAGGTAAGGCCTGGATTTGCAGCAGAGCCTCAGTGGCCTCCTTATGACTTACTGGCCTCCAGTTCAGTGGGCAACAGGCTCCCTACTAGAGACTTGTCGTAAAAGTAGGGGGCAGTTGGGTGACAATGTGAATTTAAAAGAGAATCCAATTTCCTTTCATTTTATTTACTTATTTACTTGTTTGTTTGTTTGTATTTCTTCACTGTTTCAGCCTGTGGTTACCAGTCAGCTTGGCACAATTAATAATTTGATCCATGTCAAGAAATCTGATTTTGAAGTATTCGATGCTTTAAAGTTAGACTCTATGGAGAGCTCTGAGACACCATGTCGAGGTAATGTTGTCCTATTGCTTCCTCTTGCTGTGTCTTTCTTACAATGCATATTCCTTCCCCAAACTGGTTTCTTGCTTTATTTTGCATTTTCATGTTTTCTCTAAAATCTCATAAGCTCACACATGTGTGTGTGCACGTGCTTGCACACAAATCCTGTGGTATAATGTTTGCCTTTCTTACTCTGATATACTGTTCTCCATTTTACCTTTATGTAACCCACCAGTAGTCTGCAGTCTCAAATGCTGTTTCCAGTAAGATTTCCCACTATCCATGAGCTTCTGGTGCTATAATCTGTAGAGGCTGGGTACATCTAGTTTGTCCTAGTAACCTGAGTCAGCTATTTTGGGAGTTCACCCTGGAAGTTAGGATTTTATGAGAGCCTACAACCATAATTGTCACTGAGGGCATGTGAGGGAAAAAAAAAACCAAAACAATAGTTGTTCTACGTAGAATTGAATCTACAGGGAAAGTCCTGTGTGTTTTCATTTTGTGTATACTACTTTCCCCAGGGCCTTTCTCAGTGCTTGCTCACTCTGGTAGCAGAGGCACGTTGTACAAACTCTCCATAGTCACTGTCCTGTTACTGGATGATGGGAGAGGTACCTGCCTGGAGAACTTTATCCACTGAGCAGATCTCTTGTGTGCAAAGAGAATGAAACAAGGTCTCTTGTTTGCAATGCCTGCCTCGACTACTAGTCATGTACTGTACACCAGCTCCCAGCAGTAAACATGAGGGCTTAGACCCTCAGTGAACCTCAGTCATAATAACTGAGGCAGGCCCCATAGCAAAGTTTCTAGGACAAGGGACAAATAGTCCATAGCACAGTAACTACCTACTTAGAATTAGTATATAAGCTCAGAACATTAACTCAGCATTCTTACAGGCTGGAGGGCAATGATCTTAAAAGGTTTAAGTTCTGAGACCACTAAATCTGTGATTATATTATGATCTGCAAAGTAACCAGTGAGCATGCGACAGTCAGTCATAAATCTGTAGCTGGAGGACAGCACATTTACGTTCACATGGTTTCCTAACCCAGTGATGTAAGACATAGAGCGTTTATGAGGAATGTACAGATAGTGGGTGTGGCCATTTGTGTGACTTTTCAATGTCCAACTTGTATATTTTAGTATAAAGGACAACTTGTGAAAATTGTCCTGTGCTATTTCCCAGTAGAGTTTTGTGGATAAAGTGATCAGAACAACTGAACATGCTTTGAAAAGTTTCCTGTTCTGTTTTTGAGGTTTTGTTTAATAACACAGCATTGTTTTGCCTTACATGTTGAAGCAAATCTGAGTTATTAAAATAAACTATTACTAAAATGTTTTCTCTGGAGCTGTAAAATACAAAAATTTTTAAATAATGAAAACATAATTCATTTAATTTTATAGTTTTTTACCTGAATGCTTTTCATCTTTTAAGTATAATCCAGCAACCACAAAACACATCTTTTTAAGTTGTTCAATTTATCCATTTTTTTTAGTATATTGAGTTTTAGAACCATTGTTTCTTCAGAAGAAGGACTATCTCCATCCCCCTGCCCTTTGTTCTTTATCCATCATAAAGCTTCTGCTATATGGATTTGCCCGACTGTTTGTATAAATGTAAACATGCATTGTGTGGCTTCTTTCACTTTAGTGGGCTTCCAGGGCCCATCCTTGTTGAAACATGTATCGGTCCTTTGCTTCTGTCTGTGACTGAGCAGAAGTCCACAGTCTGACAGTTCCTTTTTGCTTCTCCATCCGTTGTTGACAGGCATTTGGGTTTTGCTTCCTCTTTGGAGCTCCCATAGATATTGCTTATGAACACTCGTGGTCAGGTTTTTGTGTGGCTTATATTTTATCTTAAGTGATACACCCAGTAATGGATTGTAATTACTGGGTTACAAAGTTTGTTTAACTGTTTGAAGACAACCATACTGTTTTTCAAAGTGTCTGCACTATTGCACTATTGGAGTGTCTCTACATTTTTGCCAGTACTTGTCATTTCAGTGGCAGCCATCACAGTGAGTACGAAGTGTGGTACCTTTCTGTGTGGACATGTTCACTTTCTCGACTATAGCTGTGTTCATTCTGTCTACTGTAATCATTATAGACTTAGAGTGTGTAACATTGTTGTCTGTCACTTTGGTAGAAAAAAATGAAATCTAATTTTTTCACACTGAGTCCACATCATTTTAACCACTCTCATTTTTATTTCCTCAAAAGCATTGTAAATTAGGAAGATATTTATCTGTGGATGAGCAAACTGACCGAAAGAAAGGATCTGCCCAAGGTCACGTGGCTGACAAGTGGTGTTGGTTTCCTGGAGCCTAGGTCCTGGCCACTCAGCTCTTCCTCACATCATGTTGCCTTGTTGGGAAGCTTCCTGGTCCATGTTCAGGATAATTCAGACATTTCCTTTCCAACCTGACAGCTCCAGCTCTAGCTGCAGTAGGCCACAAGCCCTTATGCTCCAGGACTTGTGCTGCATTTAATATTAACAACTGTGTGATGATAGCTTCCCCATGCATTCTCACTAACCCTTCAACTTTTCCTTCACGTTTGCATAAATATTTTTCAGACCTGTCCAGCTCACCCCCAGGGCCTTATGGTCAAGAAATGTATGTGTTTCGATCTGAGGAAAGATTCAAATCTCCACCCATCCTGCCCCCTCACCTACTCCAAGTTATTCTTAACAAGGACACTAATATTTCTGTGAGTATCTTGAGCAGGTTGCTAGATCATCTGGGGATCTCTATGACCATCAGTGTCAAAATTAGTAACCTTGGGCTAGAATTATGACACACATGTGTCCTCATTACGATAATAAGCCATATGCACATCAGCAGCACGGTGGAATCCTTTTTCCCAGACTGAACTGTAACTTCTTTAGGCACCAATAGCAGAATTTATAGATGTCTCTCTTTCTAGCTAAATCAAAACCAAACTGCTAGAGTTGATATGTATTATGACTTCTGTTACAACACAAGATAAGGGGCACTCTCACTGGGGGAAATACAGAAATTCACAACTTTATATTAAATTTTTTTTTTTTTTTTGGTTTTTCGAGACAGGGTTTCTCTGTGTAGCCCTGGCTGTCCTGGAACTCCCTCTGTAGACCAGGCTGGCCTCGAACTCAGAAATCCGCCTGCCTCTGCCTCCCAAGTGCTGGGATTAAAGGCATGCGCCACCACTGCCCGGCTATATTAAATATTTTTAACCATGATTTTACTTAGTTGATAGTTCCTAGGAAGATTATTTTTTCCCTTTAACCTAAACCATATATATTTCTAAGCAAGATTTTTGTTTTAATTCTCTTAAAGAAAATTAGTGGCTGTTGGGGCTTAGCATTTCTACCCTACACTGAGGAGTTTTAGATTTTATGATCTGGGAACGTATGACTTGTAGGAGACAAAGTATTCCTATTTAGAGTTCTCAACAGTGCGGAGAGCTGTGGGGAAGAGTCAGCTGTGTGTTTTGTCTGCATTTAATCACATTTGGCGGGGGTGTGTCTTTCTCCTAGTGTGACCCAGCCTTACTTCCCGAGCCCAATCATGTTATGCTGAACCATCTCTATGCACTGTCCATTAAGGTAAGTGGCAGCCCTGGTCTTCCACAGCCTCCCACGTGGAAGGGGAAGGGTCCCTCAAGCTCTTCATGGTAACTTGCTTGCTGCTGCTTTTAAAGCTACACTTAGCACTGACGGTCAAATTATAGAAGAGCTGTCTCTTCCTAACTCATAGGCTGTTGGTTTTAAACCTCAGTCTCTGGTCTGTGTTCGGGCTGAGCTGTCAATAATGGGGCGTTTCTGCTTCTGAGTTCCCTTGGGTGGCTGGACCGTTTGTCTCATCTGTTTTCTTAAGCTTGAGTTCATAGGGACTGGATTCAGTCTGCAGAAAATCAGGCTTAGCTTCCTTCAACAAATGCCTGAATGAGACATAAAACTTTACCTTTTAAAATGGGGAGTCAAGCTCCTTGCCGTGTCCTAGTTGTATGTACCCAGGTGTTCCCATCCTTATATAGTAGGAAGGGAGTCATGTGACTGGAGGGTTCCCTGTCTTCCCACCCCTGCACTAGAGTCCTTAGTTTCTCCATTGCTTTAATGTCTTTGTGTCTTGGCTGTTGACGTAAATGTGTAGTTCTATGACTGTCTAAGCTGAGCCTCATGAGAACTACTTGGAGAAGTTGTGGGGCTTCAGGTTGAGTGCTCTCATCCCCAGAGATTGTGATAAGCGTGTACAGGGTACTCCCAGTAGTTCCCCTATAAGCTGCTGTATTTCTTAGATGTGCAGCTAGAGCAGGGAGATCATTGATAGAGCTGACTTTAATAGTCTGTGACTGTATATAAAATCTTAATTCGCTGAATTTCATCTTTATGGTAATCTTGAGATGTTAAGTATTATTTTTAACCCCTGTTTCATAGATAGACTAAAACTCAGCGAAGTTAGATTGCCAGTGATTATAAGACAGGCCTGAGGTTCTGTCCTCTCGGCCCTTGCCCATGAGCTTTCCTGTGTGTCGTCACACAGGTCTTCTCACAGGTGCCTTTCTGTCACCTGCTCCCCAGTCTACAGCTCTCCTGAGCAGGGTTGCATCTGCCTGGCTTCCCCCTTGAAAAGCCATGTGTCAGCTGTCAGCGCGGCGGTCCGGTCTAACCAGCGTGTGTGCGTGTGTGGGACACGTTCATCAGGGACAGTACAGGATGAAGGAAGACAGCAAGCCGCACTGGTCTCTGCATTGGACTTGTGGGGTTCTTAGAGATCTGATTGTGTTTTGTCTCCTGTGACCACTCTGTAACTTTCAGTTGATATCCCTTGTCATTTGTCTCTTCTGTGGCACATGATGCTCTCAAATACATCTTGACAGTTGGTGCCTTTGCTCCTTTGTATGGCTTACAGTACAGGTGACAGTCCTGTTGGGTCTTCTTGACTTTGGGTTCTTTCAGTTGTTTGGCCATTTGGAATTGACCCAGAAGATTGGATGTCTAAGAAAGTCTTCTTTTCCTCTAAGGGTGGATAGGAAATTCCACAGTTCTTTCTGGGTCAGAGAGGATGTTTGCAGTTCATCCTTGGCATTAAGTGGTGATTGGCCCTGCTTTGGGGCTTACAAATGAATGTTGAGAAGAATCATTTTCGTTTCTTACCACAGTTAACATTTCGTTCTGGGAATGGTTGACAGCGTGTTTGTCTTTGTTGACAAGCTAGGCTTGAGTCCATTAGTGGCGTTTGGAATGAGGAGGAGAATAAAGTAGTAAGTCAGTATTTCTTCACGACCTTGTATATGTCAGGATACTTTGATTTCTCTTGTAAGCCTCAGAGCCATCAGATAATAGCTAATGGCAGCTATTACCCTTTATATGAAAAAGTTAAAGATGGGGATGGAGGGACAGAGAGACCATTGTATAAATTATTCAAGGATACCAACCAACAGGAACTACATTGGAACTGAGTTAGATTTGACAGCAAAACCAGCCTCTTTTATTTCAAGTTGTCTCTTTAAAAGTAAATGTGTTGGTTAGTGTTGTCAACTTAAAAAAATTTTTTTAGGACAACCAAAGCTATGAGTCTGAGCATACTTATGGGGAATTATATTGAATACATCAATTGGCATACGAAGACCCATCTTAAATGTGAGCACACCATTCCCTGGACGGGGTGTCCTGGACTGGATGAAGTGGGGGAAAGCATGCTGACCCAGTGTGCGCCCGTGCGATGTGCTCGGCTGCCTCAGCTCCCTGACGCCTTGGCTGCCCTAGCATGACGGACTGTAATCCAGAATTGTGAGCCAAAGATAGACCTTCTCTCCCTTGCAGTGTTTTTGATGGAGTATTTTGCCACAACAGTGAGTGACTGAAAGAGTGAGAGCCAGCAGCCAGCCAAATAACAATCAGCTGTGTGTGCTTCTCTCCTCTGCAGGACAGTGTGATGGTCCTTAGCGCAACCCATCGCTACAAGAAGAAGTATGTCACCACGCTGCTGTATAAGCCCATCTGAAGAAGACATCACTCCTTGCCTCCAAGGATTCTGGAGAAGCATCTCCCTTGCCTTTGAACTGAGCTGGCCTCCTCTGAGACTGGCAGGCTGATTTGTTTTGAGGCTATGTGTGTGTCAGAGCCTCTGATAGGGTGCTCTGCTTTGCATTTGATTGCAGATGAGAGCTTTATGAGTTCATGGAGTTTATTTTAAGAAACACAAAACCATATATATGCATATGAGAGGAAGGTTACTGGGAGCCGCCTGGCCCAGCTGTACACGTTCTCTCTGCCTGTGGGTAGTCGCCAGGGCCTGACTGGGAAGCTGTGGCTGCAGGAATGGGTATACCGGAAGCTTCTTTTTCTAAAGTGAAAGAATAGCAAACTCTTAGGATCCTTGTTGGGCAGAGGTTCTGGACCACTGGTGTCCAAGGGTCAGCTGTGTGCCAGGCTGCTGCCCTACTTAGTGCTGCCCCACTTCAGGGTGGCTTTCCTTGCATGGATTGATTCTGTATTCCCACACTATGTGACACAATCTGCTGTGTTTTTACATGACACTAGATGCCCCACAAGAACCCTCCTCACTTTACGTACATTTAATAGCATCCCTCAGATCTCATACATGACCCATAATGCAAAACTCACTGGGTGAGAAACCCTTTTGAAAAGTTTGTGGGATTAGACTCACCTTAGAGACTGGAGGTACCAAGGTCTCCTTTTTAGCTCAGCGAAGGCCTAACCCAGTGTGTTACAGTTTATTTTAACATCTAGAAAAAAGAAATGCAGATCTTTGTGTTTCAGTGTGGTCCTGTATTTTGACTGCATGGGCCTGTTTCCGGTTTTTCTTTATCAGAGCAGTCTGTAGATGGACTTGGAATTAGGGAAACCTTCCATATCTTTCATCCCTGAAAGATTCTTTTATGTGCCTATATTTTTTTTTAATTAAAAAAAAAGCATATCCATCTGTTTTAACAGGCTATTAAAGAACCTCAGGCTTTTGACAAATGGTTCTTAAGATTTCCTTCTCTAGTCTAGGCAAGTCTACAGTCTTGGGTTAATATGGCCAGCCATGTGTACCTCGCTACCCAAGCACAGCTCTAGACACAAGTTTATGCAGGCTCGTTGGATGCTCATGCTAGATTTCCCTACCTTTAAAGATGTGTAAGGCAAGGAACTACCCCCGGTATTCATAACCATGCACAGTATTGCTCTTTGCACCAAATATTAACCAAGTATTTTTTTTTTCTTTTGCCTCTTCCTTTTAAATGTGTTTGATGATCGAGTGGGGTCACTGTTAACCACTGACTGAAAAGTATTCCAGCCTACTCAGGATTCAAAGAAAATATTTTTCCAAGTATCTTGACACTTCCATTTTACAGATAAATGCAAGTCAAACATAAGCACTGTTTATGATTGAGAGACTTCTCATCTCCTGAGATGAGCCAGCCACATTGAAAGGGACCTACTGGTCAGTTCAGCTACCTCCTGGCTTTCCCACCTATTGGTGGCACAGCAGTCCTCTGCACACCTTTGAGACCTCTGATCACAAGCGTGACTAGGAAGATGGGGGTGTTTCACAGGGAATACAGATTGGTCAATGCCTTGATAGATGAGTCCCGGGACTACATGCCGCTTCAGCCATCCAAGCTGCCTCCTTCACCTGAGACTTGTGGAGAACCCTTGTGCTCCAGTCAGTTTTCTGAATAGTGTGCCATTTTGAAACTTGGTTCTTAATCAACTCTAAGACTCTTCAGTTACACTGGAAGGTTTTATTTATTTATTTTCTGCTTTTCCTCAGTGCTGATTTAGAAGTTGGCCACCTAGGAGGATTCAAAGTCTTGATTGTTTCACAGTGGGAATGTTTATCTGCACTTCCTGTTAACAGTGTGAACTGGGATCACCTGTGTTTGTGTATTAAGTTTTTACTCCACACAGTTGTAGCACTAGAGGATGGGGAAAGCTGACTTCAGTCTCTCAGGCTGCTGCTTCTCAGTCAGGTGAGGCTGTGGTGGTAGAGGGGTTGGTGCCAATGACCTTCACATCCTCCTCATCTGGACGTGAAGGAGACAGTTAGGAGGGCTGGCTGATGACTTGCCAGCACTGGCCCTGTCCTGGCCCCTGACCCTGGGGAGCTCTGCCCCTGTCACCAGGAAACACATGTGAAGGGACAGAGGAAGGTAAGGCTTTTCTCTTACTTTAAGAGAGAGTTTGTTTTCTACAGTAGAAAGTTGGGCAGAATTCAGAAATAAATCAAGGCAAAACTATTTTTTTTTCTTTCCCTGCCTATGGGAATTTTGCTGGGTCAGTTGGCAGAGTAAGACAGCACTTAAGGAGGGCTAACATGGAAACACTGGTAGTGTAATCAGTGGCTATGAGGGAAGGAAAGCCGTGAGGAGCCAAAGGGTGAGAGCAGGAACCTGAAGGTTCAGGACCCCTTCAAGAGTTCAAGCAGACACAACCTGGATGCTTGGATTTTATTGTACAAACAAGTTAGCCCAGAAACTGTCTTCTTCGTCCTGTTGCCCTATTCTCTACCTTTCTTCTGCATTGTTTGACTTCGCTTATCAGTAAGACAGGTTCACCAGGGTCTCAAGGCAAATGTGACCTAGACAGTGTGAAGGGCTTTTGCGCCATGGTTATTAGCTTCCTGTCAACCTAGACCTGAGTAGGATTTAGCCAATGTAGGCCACACCTCTGAACGGCACAGCTGACTTCTTCAAGAGCCCTGGCCTCCGGGTCTGGAGAACAAAGAATCCTGTTTCTGAGAGGAGCCTTGACCCACCCGTCCCTGTTGGTTCTGAGAGGAGCCTTGACCCACCCGTCCCTGTTGGTTTTGGTTTCTTGTAGATCTAACGGATCTTATGTAAACCTTTTGAGAAGTGTCACTATTGCGTGCATGCTGCTATAGTGATGTGACGTGAAAGTGGGGAACAGGGCTTTTAAATGCTTGACCTCAAAACAATATGCAATAGTCCCTGTATGTGTGTATGTGTATGTGCACATGCACATGTGTGTATGTGATATTCACTCTGTTCTCAGAGATACTTTGTCCTCATATTCTTGTGATTTGGGGCTTAAGAGCAGATAAATATTTTGTTCGTGTGTTATAACTGATCCTCGAAGCCAAGTTGTTGCTGACTACTGTCGGCTGCAGACTCCAGTTACTCATGAATTGGAGACTTGGAAGAAGTAAGGACTTTGGGTCTAGGCATTTGTCTGTCTTTAAGTGACAGTCACAACTGGAGATTGAAGGACTGATTTCTGCAGTGAACATAAGTGTTTGGAGTAAAAAAGCCAATTATTTTTTCCAATTATAGGAAAGAAAAAAAAAAAACCACAAGTCTCTTGTAGGATTCACTGACTCTAGAATTTGAAACTGGATCTGTCTCAGCTTGTGCTGCTTCTTACCAGTCCTTTGAAGTAGCAAGAATCATTCAAAATAAAAATAGTACTTCCAACATTAGGTGAGGTTGATTTGAATTAAGTGTGGTACAGAACTTTTGCAGTAAGTTTGATGTGAAATACTAAATATTAGGGATTTGTAGGTTTCTAATTACATACTCAAGGGTCACCTACAGTAAGTGTTGTAGCAGGTGTTGGCCATGTTGGGTTCCTCTCTGTAGAGCACCTTCCTCAGCTTTTTAGGACAGTCGGACATCAGTGTCAATTTGTCCTAAATTCTGTGCTGGGTGGCACATATGAGACATATTTGAATTAGCAGGTGTTGGTTGTTTACACTGTAGCACTTTGAGTTTATCATAAAGCAGGGGGTGACCTAATTTGAAGGCAGTTAAGTAAGTGTGAGTCTCTTAAATGGTGCTGTTTGTGATTTTTGATGCTCACATGCAGAGCTGCTTCAGTGTTTCACAAACTGGACACAAGTCAAGACTTTAAAGCTTCTCTCCACGTGTGACTCACCACTGGGCTCTGCCTGAAAACTGTATAACGTAACACACAAAAATGTGGGTTTGTTTTTCCATAAAACTGTTTAATAAAAGTGTTATACAGCAATAACATTTGAGTTACTTACTGATTCAATTGTCAGAAGCCGGCCCCTCCGGAATTCCACTTCCCTTCTGCCCCTGCCTGCTCCTCCGGGCTGGAGCAGACACAGAGTC